TTGTGTGTGTGTGTGTGTGTGTGTGTGTGTGTGTGTGTGTGTGTGTGTGTGCTCTCCATTGTGGAAGTGTTTTAGCCAGGAAGTGTTTCAGCCTTACATTTCGGGTTGGCCTAGACCTCAACAGCATCCATGTCATAAAGGCCTTAAAGGAACACTACACTTTTTTTGAAAATAGGTTCATTTTCCAACTCCCCTAGAGTTTCACCGTTTTCGAATCCATTCAGCCGATCTCCGGGTCTGGCAGTAGCACTTTTAGCTGTAGCTTAGCATAGATCATTGAACAGGGAGCGTGCTGGGGACTATTTTCAGGCGCTGCGTAATATCATTTTATTTTTATTTTATTTTATTTATTTTAGTAACTTTTTTTTATTTTGTTCGATAGGCTATTTTTATTTAGTAGTATTAGCAGTAGTTGTAGTAACAACAACCACAACAATTACTTCTACAACTGTAGTCATATTGATTTATAATTAAAAAGAGTTTCTTTCTTTAGTTTTTTTTGTGATTTTTTCATTTAAAAGGCCAATTTTGTGTTTAAAAATTAAACTAATACTTTCATTAAAAACTCTGAGGATTGTTTACCTTTGAACCTTATTTCTAATGCAATAAATATAGTGATAACAACATCTTCAGCAATTCTCACTATATGAAAATGTGATAGCAGCCAAAAGCTGATTAAGTGTGTGTGTGTGATCTGTGAAGAAAAAGAAAAGAAACCCCACTACAGACACACAAAAAGTTATGCCTAAAAAACAAAAAAGGAACTGTAGGCCTACTTCAAATTTTAAAGGTCTGTCTTTTCCAGATGGTCAAATAAACCTGTTAGCATTCAAATAAACAGACACCTAACAGCGTTACTCTAAACGCCAGCGGTTTTCTGCTGTAATTCTCTCATGCTCACCCGCTAGTGAAGGTGATGGTGTATCTAAGGTTACGCGGCACGCCGCGCGCATACCGATGCCACTCTTATCTGAGGTGTTTTTGCTGAGAGACGCAGCGCGGCAGAATGTCAACCAGTCACTGCAGCATCACCAAATCCAGCTGCGCACGCAAACCTGCTGCATCTGACCTGCTGACGGACCGGAAACACAAACCTGAGACATAATGTACTATAGCACACAAACTCAGAAGCTGCAAGCTCAGTTGCATGCATTATAGCATTCTGACTGCAGATCAGTTGCTTTTGACTGAAAACTGACTTCTATCATAAGGCTGCATGATTAATTGAAATAAAGCCAAAATATGGTTTAGTGTGATTTAATGAAATCAACACTGAGTACTTTCTTAATACATGTTCCTGGTGTTGTTGTGGATGATCCATCAGTGCACATTTTTCTACTGAAAGGTCTTCCTAATCTTTCATCAAAATGTAATAAACCATTCTGGTTTGTAACGCCCACTTCTCCTGATCCAAACAACTCTCAAAGCATATTGTATTTCTTTGGATCTGAGCAGTAATTAGGCTGATTGTTTAACTGGAGCTTGTGCTGCTGTCACTCATCACTGCAGGAGGAGCCGCACAAATCACACAACTTTCTCATGAGTAGCTGGACGACCCTCTGTGTGTGTGTGTGTGTGTGTGTGTGTGTGTGTGTGTGTGTGTGTGTGTCTCGCTCGTGTTCGGCCCACACACTGCTGATGTCTGAGTCACCAATAACTGGAATTAGAGTGTTTCTCCCATCGCTCAACACAGAACGGCAGCTCTGACAGCTAAAGACGCACCTCAGGGCAACAAGAACAACCCTGGAATACATCTCACCAACATTTATTTACAGACAGATTACACATCAGCAAAACACACACACACACACACACACACACACACACTGAAAACTGACTTCTATCATAAGGCTGCATGATTAATTGAAATAAAGCCAAAATATGGTTTAGTGTGATTTAATGAAATCAACACTGAGTACTTTCTTAATACATGTTCCTGGTGTTGTTGTGGATGATCCATCAGTGCACATTTTTCTACTGAAAGGTCTTCCTAATCTTTCATCAAAATGTAATAAACCATTCTGGTTTGTAACGCCCACTTCTCCTGATCCAAACAACTCTCAAAGCATATTGTATTTCTTTGGATCTGAGCAGTAATTAGGCTGATTGTTTAACTGGAGCTTGTGCTGCTGTCACTCATCACTGCAGGAGGAGCCGCACAAATCACACAACTTTCTCATGAGTAGCTGGACGACCCTCTGTGTGTGTGTGTGTGTGTGTGTGTGTGTGTGTGTGTGTGTGTGTGTGTCTCGCTCGTGTTCGGCCCACACACTGCTGATGTCTGAGTCACCAATAACTGGAATTAGAGTGTTTCTCCCATCGCTCAACACAGAACGGCAGCTCTGACAGCTAAAGACGCACCTCAGGGCAACAAGAACAACCCTGGAATACATCTCACCAACATTTATTTACAGACAGATTACACATCACACACACACACACACACACACACACACACACACACACACAAGCTCATAAATACACACACAAGCTCATAAACACACGTACACACACTCTCTTAAAAAATAAAGGTGCTTCACGATGCCATAGAAGAACCTTTTTGTCTAAATGGTTCCATAAAGAACCTTTAATATCTGAAGAACTATTCTGTTTCACAAAAGGTTCTTTGTGGCAAAAGAAGTTTCTTCAGATTATAAAAAAATAAGAAAGAATCATTACATATTTAGTGATGTGTCAAGATGGCCAACTAGTCAGTTATCAACAACTAACTATAGTTGATTAGTGAGTTGACACTAGTGTTGAATGAATTTTGGGATGCATAGATGATTATTTAGGATGATTAAATTCTGTTTTATTTTTTCCCAAATACTATTTACATTTTACTGGATTCCTTTGTTTTTTTCTGGATTCCGTTTAATGGTTAAATTTTAGTAATCAAAAAAGCATGTCTATTATATTTATTACAACATATTAAAATAAAAAAATAAAATAAAAAATTCTGGATTCTGTTTAAATGGCTTAATTAAATTTTAGTAAGTATGTCTAATCAATTAAATTGATAAAACTTCACAAATGTAATAATTTATTTTTATATATTTATTATTTAAACCAATGATAGGGCACTATGATTTTTTTTTTTAAATACAATAATTGCTATTAATCATAAGTTGTGAAAGTAATGCTTGTGACTGTTTTCTGGTCAGCCCTGAACTAGTCTAATCATACATTGCTTCCAACTAGTCAACTAATTGTTTTAGACAGTAAACTGACTAGCTGATTTTCTTGACTAGTTGTCATTTTCACCTAGTGTATGACATGTAAAATAAATAAACTAATTAATTAAATACATTTTTTTTTTTAAATCCACACCTCAGTTACATCTAGATTCTTTTGACTTGGGCTAACTTTTTTTTTTTTTTCTAGAGCACATTTAAGCACGAAACAAGGCCGACCAAAGTGCTGCACAACATACAATAATATATAACAAGGAGAAAATCAGTAAACAAATAGAAACAATTCAAAATCCATACAACAACAAAAGCAGATTAAAACAATTCAAAGGCACATATTAAAAGCCAGAGAGAAAAGATGTGTTTTAAGATATGACTTGAACTCAGATAAAGTGGAAGCCATTCTGATGTGAACTGGTAAGTTGTTCCAGAGGGTGGGACCAGCCACTTCAAAGGCTCTAGATCCTCTGGTTTTTAAGCGGGTTCTAGGGGTCTGAAGGAGAAATTTGCCCTCTGATCTTAGTCCCCTCTTAGAAGAGTAGGGGTGGAGTAAATCAGACAAATAAGACGGAGCTTGATCGTTAAGTGATTTATAGACAAGTAGCAATATTTTAAACTCAATTCGATATTGAACAGGCAGCCAATGCAATGATCGCAAGAGGGGAGTGGCATGATCAAACTTTTTG